CTGCCTGTTGGCCAGATGTGAGCCAGGCGGATGTGTGTGAGGTGTCTTGTTCTAATGTCTGTTCTACATATAACCCCCACACACACATCCTCCATCCTCCCCCGCATTCTGCTGCCAGCTCCACTTTCTGTATCCTGTCCCCCTCTATTTCCCCCGTTCTCTCCCTCCCCCTCTCCTTCATTTCTCTCCCCTACTCCCTCCATACCCAGGCCAGACCAAACACACAGCTAGGATGGTAGGCAGATGAAACAACATTGTTCACACTTCATGTGCTAGTATAGCCTACTCTCCAAGGGGCCGATTCTGATTTAGGAATTGTATGCCTTTCCTATGCACACCTTTCAAATAAAAACAAATCACATTTTATTGGTCACGTATACATATTTAGCAGATGTTATTGCGGGTGTAGCGAAATGCTTGTTTTCCTAGCTCCAACAGTGCAGTAGTATCTAACAATTCACAACAATATACACAAATCTAAAAGTAAAAGAATGGAATTAAGAAATATATAACTATTAGGACGAGCAATGTCGGAGTGGCATTGAGTAAAATACAGTAGAATAGAACACAGTATATACATATGAGATGAGTAAAGCAGTATGTAAACATTTTTAAAGTGACTAGTGTTCCATTATTAAAGTGGCCAGTGATTCCATGTCTATATAGGGCAGCAGCCTCTAAGGTACAGCATTGAGTAACCGGGTGGTATGAAAAATGTATGCATTCACTAAAACTGTAAGTCGCTCTGGATAAGAGTGTCTGCTAAATGACTAAAAATGTAAAATGTATCCGGCTAACGATGGCTATTTAACAGTCTGATGGCCTTGAGATAGAAGCTGTTTTTCAGTCTCTCTGTCCCAGCTTTGATGCACCTGTACTGACCTCGCCTTCCGGAAGATAGCGGGGTGAACAGGCCGTGGCTTGGGTGGTTGATGTCCTTCATGATCTTTTTGGCCTTCCTGTGACATCGGGTGCTGTAGGTGTCCTGGAGGGCAGGCAGTGTGCCCCCGGTGACGCGTTGGGCAGACCACATCAACCTCTGGAGAGCCCTGAGGATGCGGGCAGTGCAGTTGTCGTACCAGGCGGTGATACAGCCCGACAGAATGCTCTCAATAGTGCATCTGTAAAAGTTTGTGAGGGTCTTACTGTCATGATTTAACTGGATTTGAACCCAAAGGCAGACAACTACACCGAGCCAGAGAAGGTTTATTTACAAAGTTCAATTTGTCCAGGTTTCCAAATAATAGGGGAAGAGCAAGTCCAGGTTTACAGGGAGGGTAACAGATCCAGGTTCAGAGCAGATGTGGTACCGTAATGTCCTAGTGTCCGTGGTGAGTCCAAAAGGGAGGTCCGGTAGTGGAAAGCAGGACGGTGGTGGCAGGAGTGAAGCGGAGGCAGGAGTCAGGTTCCAATAATCTGTGGCACAGGAGAAAAGTAACTAGAACAGGCCAAAAACACAAAGGGCGAAAACAGGCAGGTTGAGTCAACAGCGAAACTAACATGGTCGTCTTGACTATGATCTGACGATGAGTGGCTAGTTTGACCGGGTCTTAAAGGCTGAGGTGATTATGGTGAATGAGCTGCAGCTGGAACCCTGACTCCCGCACACCAGACTTCACTCCTGCAATCAAGGACAGACAGAGGGGAGGGGGAGAGCAGAGAGAGAGCTACCTAGCAGCAGTAGGCCTAACACTTAGGGGCTAAGCCTCTTCTTGAACACTAAAGTGACAGTTATAAATGTATGTGGGTATTACTGAAGGTGGCTCCCGATAGTGGCTAATATTTAACATGATACAATTGTAAAATAAAACAGAGAAAAGCCCAGGCATATAATTAAAACATTCTAAAGCGCATACATCAACTGGGCTGGTTTAGCAGCAATACATGTCATGTTGATATGATTTTCAGTTTGCTTCCACATGACTGGTTTCACATTCGTCTCCAGGGATCATAAGGAAAAATCTTTTTTTTTTTATTACAATCCCTTCTCCAAATGGATTCCTCATTTACCTAGCTCTTATCAACAGCTCTTACAGTGCATTCGGAAAGTATTCAGACCCTTTCCCTTTTCCCAAATGTTTTCCCCTCATCAATCTACACACAATACCCCATAATGACAAAGCGATAACAGGTTTTTAGAAATGTTTGCAAATGTATTACAAATAAAAAACAGAAATACCTTATTTACATAAGTATTCAGACACTTTGCTCTGAGACTCTAAATTGAGCTCAGGTGCATCCTGCTTTCATTGATCATCATTGAGATGTTTGTACAACTTCATTGGAGTCCACCTGTGGTAACTTCAATTGATTGGACATGCTTTGGAAAGGCACAAACCTGTCTATATAAGGTCCCACAGTTGACAGTGCATGTCAGTGCAAAAACCAAGCCATGAGGTCGAAGGAATTGTCCGTAGACAGCCGAGACAGGATTGTGTCGAGGCACAGATCTGGGGAAGGGTACCAAAATATTTATGCAGCATTGAAGGTCCCCAAGAACACAGTGGCCTCCATCATTCTTAAATGGAATAAGTTTGGAACCACCAAGACTCTTCCTAGAGCTGGCCGCCGGGCCAAACTGAGCAATCGGGGGAGAAGGGCCTTGGACAGGGAGGGGACCAAGAACCCGATGGTCACTCTGACAGAGCTCTAGAGTTCCTCTGTGGAGATGGAAGAACCTTCCAGAAGGACAACCATCTCTGCAGCACTCTACCAATCAGGCCTTTATGGTAGAGTGGCCGGACAGAAGCCACTCCTCAGTTTGCTAAAAGGCACCTAAACGACTCTCAGACCATGAGAAACAAGATGACACCAAGATTGAACTCTTTGGCCTGATTGCCAAGCGTCACGTCTGGAGGAACCTGGCACCATCCCTACGGTGAAGCATGGTAGTGGCAGCATCATGCTGTCAGGATGTTTTTCAGTGGAAGGAACTGGGAGACTAGTCAGGATCGAGGGAAAGATGAACAGAGCAAAGTACAGAGAGATCCTTGATGAAAACCTGCTCCAGAGCGCTCAGGACCTCAGACTGGGGCGAAAGTTCACCTTCCAACAGGACAATGACCCTAAGCACACAGCCAAGACAACGCAGGCTCTGAATGTCATTGAGTGGCCCAGCCAGAGCCTGGACTTGAACCCGATGTAACATCTCTGGAGAGACCTGAAAATAGCTGTGCAGCAACGCTCCACATCCAACCTGACAGAGCTTGAGAGGATCTGCAGAGAAGAATGGGAGAAACTCCCCAAATACAGGTGTGCCAAGCTTGTAGCATCATACCCAGGCTCGAGGCTGTAATCGCTGCTGAAGGTGCTTCAACAAGTACTGAGTAAAGGGTCTTAAAACTTATGTAAATGCGGGGGGGGGGGGGGGGTTATATACATTTGCAAACATTTCTAAAAAACTGTTATTGCTTTGTCATTATGGGGTATTGTGTGTAGATTGATGAGGATGTTATTTTTTTAATCCATTTTAGAATAAGGATGCCAGCGTAGCAAAATGTGGACAAAGTCAAGGAGTCTGAAAACATATCGAATGCAACAACAAAAGTGTGTGTGAGAGAGCAAGAGAATAGCAATGACACAGCGGGCTTCCGACTCATCACCGTTTCCTCCATGGGACAATATTCTTATTACCCTTGTTTCTTTAGTGATGTGGACTCCATACATTTATTTTACATTTTTAGTCATTTAGCAGACACTCTTATCCAGAGCGACTTACAGTGAGTGAGTGCATACATTATTATTTTTTAATTTTTTCATACCCACAACCCTGGCGTTGCAAACGCCATGCTCAACCAACTGAGCCATTCCTTCCCCTACCCTGGGCCAATTGTGCGCCGCCCCATGGGTCTCCCGGTCGCGGCCGGCTACGACAGAGCCTGGATTCAAACCAGGATCTCTAGTGGCACAGCTAGCACTGCAATGCAGTGCCTTAGACCACTGCGCCACTCTGGAGTCCATACCAGACCCACATCCGCCCAACCACTGGGTACAGATGTCAGTTCAACATTTAGTTTTTATTTACATTTGGTTGAGTTGTCAACTAATGTGAATTCAACAAAAATGTCACCATGTCATCAGGATTTAAGTTAAAAGTTGGGTGAAAAAAGAATCCAATCAGTTTTCCACGTTGATTCAATGTAAACACAGATTTTTCAAGGTTGAAATGAAGTTGAAACAACATTGATTCAACCAGTTTGTGCCCAGTGGGCACCCATGTCATGATGAATAGTTTCCACAAGGCTACAACAAGTTAAAAGGAAACGAGACAAAGTTCAAGTTAATTATAAAACGTTTTAATAAATACAACTGAGGTAGTGTCATTGGAATGGTTTGTTTCACAGTTTTGGTTATCAGTGTCGACACAATTAATTGTGGGTTCGTATGCAAGAAAAGTTCCACAGTTTTATCCAATTAACATACATTTCCAAATTAACAAAATATAAATTTGAATGCATCATACAGGTAGAACATTCAGAACAGTTCATGGATCAGTTTATATAATAGGCCAAATGTTTGGATTACTGGGACCCACAACAGTGATTAATAGCAAATAGTAGGTCTTGTATTTTCAGCACCATGGCGCACGTGTAGGCTATACAAGTCCGTGTAACCAGCACTATTCCGTCGGTTTAGGCTTGTGCCGTGTATTGTATTCAGTCCTTTTCGACCAGGCCCAACCCTAGAAAGTATTAGACCAAACAATGTTCTCCCGTCTCCCGTCCGCCAGCGGGAAAACATGAACTATTTTACGTTAACGATCAGTCCCATCTTTCACGAAACAAGCTCCAAGTTTCGGGAGAAATCTCCACTGAGTTCCCGGGACAGCCCCGTTTCCAACATTAGAGACCACAGCGTTTTATAGTGTCTTAACGCATATGCGGCCTCCTCTCGCTCTACCCAGCTAATACCTGGATAGTTTTGTGCATTGCGCATTCCTTCTGCTCGGTCACAAAAGTTTATTTATGAACCCAAATCAAAGCAAACTCTTCATTGTCGCTTCAAAATGCTGAAATGGCTCTTAACATGGGTACCGATGAGGCGAGGGAGTCCCCACCGACACCGTAGCAATTCACAGAGCTCAATATGAACGTATTTCTCCCTTGCTCCATTTTCGCTTTCTTGCAGGGGAGCAAGTCGGGCTCCGCGGCCGCTTTGCCCCGTCTCTTCCTGGTGTTACGGTCAGGCCTCGACGGGCCCCGGTTCTCCTTGTCTTCTCGACCTGCTGTTACACTGCAGTGCAGCGGGTGTGAGTTCGTTTCGTCCTCGGAGGATACTGCACTCTCCTGGGGCTGGGGGGTCGCGGGTAGTCCAGACCGAGACGAGGAAACCTCCCTCTCCAAACGGTCTCCAGTTGTTTCCTCCATCGATGACTCTTGCTGGACCAGCTCAGCTGCTGTCGTGGTTTCACAACTGGCCTGCGATGCGTGGTAGATATCCCGGGCGGACTGCATCACGAGAGTCAGCAGCAGGCTCCGATGGAGACGGTGTCCCCCGCGCTGGGCGCGCGAGCTGTACAGTTTGCCTAGAGCGTGGACCATAATCCTCTTAGCCTCAGCGCTGACCTCCATATTGTTTCTTATTGTTGATCTTAAAACGTTTAAAGACTCGTTAATTTGATTGCCAAAATGTTGGACTTTTCTTTACCGTTAGGTCCTAGCTTCTCTGAACTTCACACACATACAGACATAAACCTGCCTGTACAAGCCGCTTTATTATAACTTCGCTGACGTCAGTGGCTCGTTGTCATATGAGAGGTGTAAATTCCTCCATGAGCTCCTCCTACTGCCCCTATGCCAAAAACACCACAAGACGTGCGGAAAACGTGTAGTAGCCTCCTACACTATATTTAGACAACTATTTATGACTAGACAAATGTTTAGGCTGTGTTTATTTGTAACACATTTATGTTTGCATAATTGTGTCATTTGAACAACCGAATATCAATGCAAATCTGACTACTGTCAACAGTCCATACACTGTATAGGCTAATGAGAAACCAGAAACCTGAGAAACCAATGACATTCATAAAATATTGGTGCTATTTAGTTTTTGCATTGTCTCAGTATCACTAGGCTAATTGTGTGTGTGTGTTCGGTGTGTGACATCTATTGTTAAGTGGTTTGGAATTGCATTTAGTTCTCTTGTGTAAGTGGACTGCTGCTATCTTGAACATGTCTCTCTTGCAAAATAGATTAGCCTATAGGCTAATGAAAGGTTAAATGAAAAATTAACATTTGTGACTGTTCAAATTTTTTAAATTAATCCTTTTAACAAAAATGATATGGCTAAAAGGCTGACAGCCATGCCTCAACAGCCTTATATGACTCTGTCAACCACCGCATTCTTATTGGCAGACTAAATAGCCTTGGTTTCTCAAATGACTGCCTCGCCTGGTTCACCAACTACTTCTCAGATAGAGTTCAGTGTGTCAAATCGGAGGGCCTGTTGTCTGGACCTATGGCAGTCTCTATGGGGGTGCCACAGGGTTCAATTCTTGGGCCGACACTTTTCTCCGTGTATATCAATGATGTCGCTCTTGCTGCTGGTGACTCTCAGATCCACCTCTACGCAGACGACACCATTTTGTATACATCTGGCCCTTCATTGGACACTGTGTTAACAAACCTCCAAACGAGCTTCAATGCCATACAACAATCCTTCAGTAGCCTTCAACTGCTCTTAAACACTAGTAAAACTAAATGCATGCTTTTCAATCGAACGCTGCTAGCACCCGCCCACCCGCCCACCCGAATCACCACTCTCGACGGGTCTGACCTAGAGTATGTGGACAACTACAAATATCTAGGTGTCTGGTTAGACTGTAAACTCAACTTCCAGACTCACATAAAGAATCTCCAATCCAAAGTTAAATCTAGAATCGGCTTCCTATTTCGCAACAAAGCCTCCTTCACTCATGCTGCCAAACATGCCCTCGTAAAACTGACTATCCTACCGATCCTTGACTTCGGCGATGTCATTTACAAAATAGCCTCCAACACTCTACTCAGCAAATTGGATGTAGTCTATCACAGTGCCATCCGTTTTGTCTCCAAAGCCCCATACACTACCCACCACTGTGACCTGTACGCTCTTGTTGGCTGGTCCTCACTACATGTTCGTCGTCAAACCCACTGGCTCCAGGCCATCTATAAATCATTGCTAGGCAAATCCCCGCCTTATCTTAGCTCATTGGTCACCATAGCAGCACCCACCCGTAGTCTGCGCTCCAGCAGGTATATCTCTCTGGTCATTCCCAAAGCCAACACCTCCTTTGGCCGCCATTCCTTCCAGTTCTCTGCTGCCAATGACTGGAACGAATTGCAAAAATCTCTGAAGCTGGAGACTCTTATCTCCCTCAATAACTTTAAGCATCAGTTGTCAGAGCACCTTACCGATCACTGCACCTGTACACAGCCCATCTGAAATTAGCCCACCCAACTACCTCATCCCTATATTGTTATTTATTTTGCTCTTTTGCACCCCAGTATCTCTATTTGCACATAATCTCTTGCACATCTAGCATTCCAGTGTTAATACTATTGTAATTATTCTGCACTATAGCCTATTTATTGCCTTACCTCCATAACTTGCTACATTTGCACACACTGTATATATATTTTCTGTTGTATTTCTGACTTTATGTTTTTTTTTTACCCCATATGTAACTCTGTGTTGTTTTTATTGCACTACTTTGCTTTATCTTGGCCAGGTCGCAGTTGTAAATGAGAACCTGTTCTCAACTGGCTTACCTGGTTAAATAAAGGTGAAATAAAATAAAATAAAAATATTTAGCTGCTGGTATCAGGTCAAGACCACCAATCAAAACCATTATATAATGATTTTCTTCTGGGAAAAGCTGTGTTGATAACTTACTCTTGAATCTTCATGTTTTTCTTCTGCCACATTACTATAATATTACTCCAATGGGGGATGTTTCTCAGAGGTGATCGACAGATGCCCATATAAAGCACATCCGACAGGTAACCGAGGCGCGCGCGCTGCAGTGGAAAACCCGTGACGCGCGTGGGAGACCCTTGCTTCCGGTGGCCATATAAAGTGCGAACCATTAGGGATTGCGTCAGAATACATCTCCTTATATGGTGTTGTCACGACTGTGTGCTCTGTTTCCCTGAGCCCAAATATGGTCATCGGGAGCGTGCTTAATCCAGTGGTAGCGCGCTTGGGGTCAACTCAACTCATCTATTTTGGGATGCACATATTTTATTTTATTATTCTGGCAGCAAGGATGCCGCTAGAAATCGGACATTATTGATGAAAGGAGCAATCAAACTATCAGTCAACTGTCTCTGGATCAATCTTTTATTGGCCAAGAAAACTTTCTCCCTCAGCAAGCTTTCATTTTGCATCACATTTATATGGTTTCCTCAAGACCTAATACTTTATATTACATGAAAGGTAAACCAAACACTATGTGAAATATAAAAGTTGAGATAATGCAGTTTCATAAATGTTGATCCATGACAACGACAGGCCTATGCCTTGTTTTATTAATACAGAAAGAGGGTTTCAGATTGTGTTATTGTAATTAGCAATTTTTTTGTATTCCATCCATCCAAATCGCACCTCTAGTATTTCCCCCATCCTATCCTCCATCAGAACTCTTTGGTTCATGTCTAATATCATTTGTATGCATCATTTCATCAAGTCAAGGTCCAAATGGAACCAAAAAGCATTAATTTGATGAGCTGTGATTTGATTCACTTACTATGCACTCCCTTGACCACATTCCATTTGGTGCTCTCACTTTAAATTGTCCATCTTCATTACTGCAAAACTCCCCACAACAGAGTGAACCTTTGATAATGTCAAATTACAGCAGGTAGCAAACCTATAATTTACCAGTCAATCTAGTCAGTGGTATAAATATTTGGAAAAAAGGAGCAAAGCCACAAATCATTTGTTACAAACCTTTTATTAAGATAGTTTTTTTTAAATCCATGTTGACATTTATCTTAATGATTTTTCTTTACAGTAGTTAATGTGCAATTACCTTGAATAATATTGGGTCACAGTTAAGGGGTTTCACAAAGTTATTGGCACTTGGAACACAGAGAGAACAGAATGAGCAGTAGAGCACTGGCGCTACAGGGTCACAGAGGGCAAGGAGCAGGGATAGAGACATGGGGGACGCTACTGCACTGGTTTCAATAAGCTGTTTGTGGGTATATACCTCATGCTGAGAGTGCACAACTAACAATCCGACTTCTTTAGTGCCTCTATGTATAATATACAGTAAATATCTATACATATATTCATATTTATATATGTATATGTGAAAAAAGGTCCTTCGCCAAGCCTATACCACACTGGACACTGCCTTTGTTTGTCCATTCTCTTGAGGTGTGTGTGTGTTGGGGGAGGAGGGACATCTACCTGTAGGGATGGGGGGAGAATCAGCTTGAACTGTCCTGTCTCACACACACACGCAAACTTTATTTTCTGATCCTCTGAAGCACAAGACTAGAGCTCAGACAAGTAACCCTCTCAAAAACACACAAAACTGAACTTTGATCACTTAGTAGCCAACTATGTCATTGACTATGGTCTGTGGGGGAAATACTGCCATCTGGTGGTGGCTCCAGGCAGTGCACTGGTCTGCAGTACCACATGTGAATAACAGGTGGTGAACAAGAGAGGATCTGACAGTGTCCATAATATCATGGGGTCTGTTCAGCAGGGTGAAATCAGACCTTGGTGAACAGGTTTAATAACAGGTGCAAAGTTTGGAATTCGAAACCTCTATAGCTCCGCACACCCACTACTACCCCCCCCCCCCCCCCCCCCCCCCCCCCCCCAAAATCATTCCCCCCAATAGACAAGAGACAGTACAGTACCCTAGTCTGTCCCATCATCCTCCCCCTGGAAGAACCTCTCATGGAACCCTCATCACAAAAAAATATAAAAATATACGGTGCTCTGTCTAGCTATCGGTGCTCTGTCTAGCTATCGTATAATTATCCTTCTTTCCTTTTCCTGTTTTTTCTTCAGCAAGAAGTTGGCAAATCATTCACCACCTTCAATTAGTAGCATTTCTTTTAGGTCTCTACAGTACATGTTTCTTTAGAGAAAAGAGAAAACATAAGCAATACAAAAAATTGTTTTAAAATGAATATTTTTTTCTGTACAACAATCTGATGGAGAGAGTCTGTAGCATGACACCTCTCTCCCTAAACATCACCCCTCTTCCCTCCCCTTCAGTCACACTAACTCAGCAGCACATTAGGCCAGTACTTTAAGACCAAAGCAACCATCATCCTTATTCTCCTCCGACCTCTGATCTCTAGGCCAAATGCATGCTGGGAGCTCACACACACACACACACACACACACACACACACACACACACACCAGTCTCCATGACATCTCGACAACACAAAAGACAGAGTAAAAAATAACTAAAAAATATAAAAACAGTCCTCTTTCATCCCTTCCACACTTTTACACAATCACAAACATCCTACATAGGACATCACTAGACGAGCGTAGAAGAGTCAGCTCAACGGTCTTCTCAATATTTACAACTGGAGACATCCCAGTGCATCCCACATCCACAGATCTGAGACGCAGGCTATGTTCCAATACTCTCTAAATGCACCCTTCCTTTATTCCCTTCCCTGAAGTGCTTACATCAAGGAAACGGAGGAAGGATGCCGCTTAGAAGTATTTGAACAAGGCCATACCTTTGCATGACCCTAGGGTTGATTCTCCACACGACCCATCAAAACCCTTTATCAAAGGTGCAGGAACCATGGGTTCATCTCATATAAAAGGTGCTTCACCTCCCATTTAACATCTCCAGAAAGGTGCTTTGACTTCCCCTGTCAAGGAAAGTGCAGAACCATGTCAAACCACAAAAAACAGCATTGTCCATTTTGGATTTTCTAAACATGAGAGGGAGTTATACAACAGCAATCAGGACATAGAAATGTCATGCATAGAGGGGACCTGCTTCTCTGCCGTATGGATAAAAGTGAATTGCGTCCGCGCTATACATCACATTTCTATCTGAAGGCGTCTCACTGACACTTGTGAAGATATCTTTTTGATTGCAAAGGTGTATGGAAGATGGTGTAGGTCATCGTCCACATAGACAAGTGTCCCAGCAGAGGGAGTCTTAAACCAATCCAAAACACTACCAGGTGGAGGACACACACACTTAAAGCACACTCACCTACACATTAATCACACAGGAACAAATATGCTTTTCAGTCACATTCAAGGAATGAACAAACGCTTGCTCTCGCACATATATCAAGACTGTTAAAAACACACCCACACACTCCACCAGAATGCCAATCCCCCTGACCTCACCCCATCTCTCTTTGGGACACATGTGTTACACCTCTGTCTCCAGCAGAACGACCTACCACCTTTTACCACCCGTTCCACCCCCTCCTTCCCAACATCAACATAAGCAGGACCCACCCCTGCATATCCCATGTCGATTAAAAAGGCACATTCCATTATTCCAAATGTTTTCCGGTTGTTGAATCACCACCTCATGATGTGTAATGATGTCAGTAGTTTGCGTCGGAGCACGTTACTAACCAACACGGAGGAGGGGTTAGCTAGCTAGCACGATAGTTGCAGCAGTCAACCAGTCGATTCAAGCTGTGCATTTCTACATTTAGCCGTGATTTTCGAGTAAGCAGTTTAGCTAGCATAGTAGCGTCGCTAGCTCGCTAGCAAGCATAACATAGTCAGTCAGTCATCGTAGTCAACAGTCCAGCCACATAGATAGGCTTCTTGACCATTTCCATAGAGAAAAGAAGAGAAGATAATAAGCTATATTGGATTGCCGCAGGTAGAAAGTGCCCAGTTCTGTCTTAAAAACAGATATTTTTCAGTTCAATAGTTTGTCAAAACAAAAAACTCAAAAGGCTCTACTTTAAGACTTTTCTGACCACTTGATCAACACCATATTTTTATGCAAAAATAGCACTTTTCCTTACTTGCTTTTAAATCTTATTTTTTGGAGCAGGACTTTCTTTGCAAAAACAGCTGTTCAAAATACAATAAAACAGAAATTTAAAACCAATCCCTTTCTTTCTGTACACACCCACAGTTGTATAAATACATATTCAAAAGATATGACCGTCTTTTTCTGTTCCCCTTGGATTTCTTTACAATCATGGTACAACCTGTAGTCCCCATCTCTGGCTCCATAGCCTGTTACAAACAGAGAAACGAGCTGTGATCATAAAAGATACAAGAGAGTACATTAAAACTGAGGGCATGATCATTTTGTTCTGGTCACAGGAGGACTGGTGGGGTCGGGGTCTCTATCACTCCCTCCCTCCCCTTTTCTCTTTCTTTCATTCTAGAGAGAAACTACAGTCTCTCTCATATCCATAGAGTAAGTTATCTTTGTCGGTTTGTTTCTCCTCAAGAGGTTGGTTTACAATCGTTCAGACTGACATTGTGCGATGCTGCCGACATCTACATTCAAAACCAGGGGAATGTGTTTTGATATGGAGAGGGAGGAATTTGGTTCAAAAACCTAAACAGAGAATCAAAGAAATTGGGGAAAAAAACAAAACACCCCATCCCCATAAATCCATCACCCTCTCTCTACCCCCATACCAACATACAGTAGAAACCATCTTGGAAGTTACGATTGCTTGGACTCTCGCTTTCAAAATTAAAGCATAACTTCCTGGTTAACATCCTGGTAACAACCCCGGTTTCCCCTAGCAACGTTTTAGAGTCACAAGTTGGGGGTGGAGGATCAAAAGGCTAAAGGGTCAGGGGGATGGGCCACACCACCAGAGGAGAAGAAAGAGGGGAGTACAGGGAAATATAGGTATTCATCATCGTCGTCTTCTAAACACTTCTGTACTCCACCTCCCCATCTAAAACAAAGTGCCTCCGTCGCTGCCCACCCCATGCAGCGATTCGCCGGACGAGCCGCCCGTCTCCGCGCCCTCCAGGGAGTTGGGTTCAAAGCCTGGCTCCGCCCCTATGGCATCAGCCTCCATCTTGGCGTCAGGGAGGAAGGCGGAGTACGCGTCGCCCTCGGCCATGAGCAGCTTCAGCTTGGGGATCCAGCTCTTGCGGACGACGCGGCGGGCGTTGGTGCACATGTCTGCCGCGATGGCGTTCATCTCGCTCTCCTTGAAGCTCGTGGCAAAGTTCTGGCTGTAGACTGATGGAGGGAAGGAGGAGAGAGAGGGGAGAAAGGAATGAGGGAGGGAGGGAAGGAGGGGAATAGAGAGAGAGTAAGGGAGAAAAGAGGAAAAGACCAGAGAGTTGATAAACCCAATCCTAAATCAGCCGTCAACTAACCAAAGGCACTTGTGTTTAAGTGAAACACTCACATTTGACTGCGTGCAACACTCTGTTGTCCAGGGGCTTGCGGCTGGGGTCGTTAGTGGAGGAGCGGATTCCTGTTCCACAGCTGTTAGCCAGAGTGTTCCTGACAGGGGAAAGAGTATAATGATACGTTTATAAACATATAGACATCCATCAACCGTTAATACACACACAGAGGCAGGTAGGCACATACACATCAGACGTATAAACACACATTTACATTTTAGTCATTTAGCAGACGCTCTTATCCAGAGCGACTTACAGTTAGTGAATACATATTTTTTTTATACTGGCCCCCCGTGGGGGGGCCACATCAGACATATAAACACACACATACACATCAGACATATAAACACACACACATACACATCAGACGTATAAACACACACATACACATCAGACGTATAAACACACACACATCAGACATATAAACACACACACATACACATCAGACGTATAAACACACACATACACATCAGACGTATAAACACACACACACATCAGACATATAAACACACACATACACATCAGACATATAAACACACACACACATCAGACATATAAACACACACATACACATCAGACGTATAAACACACACATCAGACGTATAAACACACATCAGACATATAAAACACACACACATACACGTCAGACGTATAAACACACACACGTCAGATGTGCGAGAGAGAGAGAGACACACACACACACACACACTAACCTGTCGAAGAAGGCAGCCAGCAGCCTCCTGAGCAACACCTTGTGTCTGGTCCCTGCACTCACATGACAGTTCATCAGCTGGGCTCGAGATATGAACACACACGTACCTGCAGACACAGACACACATTAGTGAGAATCAACAACAAAAGCAAACACACAGAACAGTGTTACCATGGACTACTCCAGACACTACTCCTATTGAGTTTCAACACACACACCTGGATATACCCCCATACACCACACACACCATCCGTTAAACACACACACAGACAATCCTGTTTACACACCCAACACCACCACACACCAGCCAATCACAACATCCCGGTATACCCACCCGACCTGCCCCCCCCGCAGACCGCCAAGCACCCCGGTACACGGAGCGGTACACCCCCGATGGCCCAAACCCCCCGAACTGCCCGTACCTTGGCCGCTGCCCGGAAGACCCGCTGATATCCCAGCTCGGGGTTCCCACCGCTCGAACCCTGCCTACCGCTAGGGGTCTCCCAGGGTAACCAATTGCAGGATACAGTTCCCAAAATAGGCCCTATTGCCAGCGCAAATCCGGAACAGGTATCCACTAGGTGCCTCTCCGAGTATGATCATTGACCCGGCCCTAGCAGATGGACATAAGTCGGATCCTCGGCCCGACAATACCCCTCACTGGCCCACAGAGAGGGTGCTGGGGGCTTAAAAGAGATACGAGGGATGGGCCCCCCAATGCCGGAAGAGGCCCCTACCCATCCACAGGCGGCACCCCAAGTTGAGCACTTTGGGAAAAGAACGGAGCGTGGTCCCCTCCCAGGTGGCCCAAAAGAGGCTGAGGCGTGTACCCGATCGCTCAACGCCGTACTCGCCATGGGAGGTTCCCCAGAGAGATAGAATAAAAAGGAGTTCGTGCTTGCCCCCCGCAAATAAGCGAGAGGGGAGAGGAAGACCCCCCCGCCGCCCAGTAGGACGCCCGTAGAAAGGGGGAGCCCAGCCGAACTGATGCGGGATAAACACTGCCCCCGGTCATTTCAGGTGCGGTTGCCCGTGTGCCCCAGACGTAAACCTCCTCCCCTGTAGAATGAAGAAGCATGGAGGGAGAAGAATTCCCCCCTACCCGCCCCGTGTAAACCCCCTGGAGCAGGCAAGGCGAAAGACAGGAACCCGATGGAAACAGACTGCCCTCATTATTGTCCTGGTAGTAGACCTAGTGAGCCAGCGCCTAAGGAACCCAGCATCGCAGCAAGCACACGATGGATGTGACTTCTCGCATGGAGCACTGGTCCACGATGAGGACGTTAAATCCCCTGAGAGTGAAGCGAAGGTGTTACGGCGGATGGGTTGCCCCCGCGAGCCAGCCCCCGGCCCCTCTCAGGCACAGACGGGGACCACATGAGAAACCCAGACCCCTAGGGGGGAAAGACCCGGTTCGCATGAGGAGACCACGCCCGGAATACGGACAGCCCGCAAAGGCGCCAGTGATCCCCCAACCGCCAGCAGCCTCCGGGCGTGCGGAGCAAACGGGCCGGTTCCCGCCAGCACCACTTGGCGTTCCCGGAGGCCCGCACGGTTGAACCGCCCCGCGCATACCCCCAGGGGAAAGGGACCAACCCCCCGACAGCCAATACGGGACAATGGTAGGCGAATAACCGGCTGAACCGCAAGGAAAACCCGGTGGCCCTCGCACACCCCCGGATTTGAGCTGGGAAACCCAGCCTAATGGAGGCAGGAGGAAATGGCCCTCCGTCCCCAAGAAAAATGCCTTGGTACCCAAAGCACAAGGCCATGCTAAAAACCCCGCCCCTTCGAAACCACGTAGCAAAAGCCCGAAACATCCGCCCGCCGGGAGAAGTAAAAAACAAGAGCGACCCCCCCCCAGAGTAGCGAGATGAACCGACCCCCCCCCTACCAAGTCGCTGGAAGGATGGCGGAAGGAGTTGGGGCCCCGTGTAGCTCCGGCGAGAGGAGATGAGCCAAAAAACGAGCCACCAGCACACGAGAGGTCCCGACTCGCAAATGACCCAAAGGGTTGGAGGTGCGGAAAAGAGGAAGTCCCCCCCGCCCCCCCCCGCGGGCTAAATCACCTGACATCGCGCATAGGGAGCCGGGCGAAAGCGGGGGCAGGAACAGCAACGAAGGAGAACCCATAGGGGCCGGGGTACTGTAAGGTACCCAGGACCGGAGAGAGAGGCACCCCGCTCGGAATTGCTGACGGACCCCACCCCCCCCCCCTCGACTATCGCCCTTGGGCCGGGCCGTGGGGAATCATCACGCCCCGGAATACGGGGACCCCCCCCTGAGCCCGGGAGGGGTTTCCCCCCCCTCCCAGTCCGGAGGTGAGACCGACCCACGGATGGGCGTCTTAAGGTTACAGGGGATAGGGAACGCCTTGGGCCGTGGGTGAATACGCCCCGGCAAAAGGAGCCGGTGGGAGGCAGGCAGCGGAAACCCCACCCCCCCCCGAGGAAGGATGGGGACACTGGATGGAGGGAGAAGCCCGTCACGCCCCCCGCGCCTCTGGGTCGCCACACCGGGAGAGAAGATAGAAGAGAATCCTCGTGAGAAGTAGGTGATGGGAGTGCCCCCCCCCCCCGAACGCGGTACCTGGACGCATGAAGCAGGGGGCCCCTAGCGCGCTCAGGCGCCGCAAGCGGAACAAGACAAGAGCCTCCCGGTGATGCCACATCAAAAAGACCAAAGTTGGGTTAGAACCACACCCTCTCAAAGAACAACCTACACAGCACTGAAACATGACCCCAACACACACATCCTGTGTCTGACTGCATGATAAACAACATCAGCAGGCCAAAACACATGGGAATACTTGACTGTGGGTCCAATTGAGACTGCAGTTACACTCCAGGACAACATGGCAGTTTAATGCAAACTAGGCAATTCTCCCAGAGAGGCTTCACGTGCTAATATACAACCACCTGTCCCCATTCCTCAATCTCTTACATATGTCATCTCACATTATGGACCACCTCATCAGTGGTAGTGTAGAACCAGGCCACCGTCCCCATTTCTACTCATGTAAGGCCTACTCTCATAGTTGTGCGTAGAACCAAGCCACGTCCCATTTTCACTACTCATGTAAGGACCACTCTCATAGTGTAGCGTAGACCCAGGAGGCCACGTCCCATTCACTACTCTGGTAAAAGGGGACCACTCTCATATAGTGTTCGTAAAAACAGGCCCGTCCCATTTCACCTCCTCATTGTAAGGACACTCTCATAGTGTAGCGTAGAACCAGGCACGTCCCATTTCACTATTCATTTAGGACAACTCCACAGTAGACTATATACAGTGTGTTTATAGTATACCCTGAGAGGGGGGGGGGGGGGGGGGGGTGTACCATTCGAACAACTTCCTAATATGGAGTCGCACCCCCCCCTTTGGCCCTCAGACCAAGCCTCAATTATCATGGCATGGCACTACAAGGTGTCCGAAAGCATTTCAAGGGATGCTGTCCCATGTTGACTCCAATGCTTCCCACAGTTGTGGCAAGTTGGCTGGATGTCCTTAGGGTGGTGGAACCATTCTTGATACACACAGGAACCTGTGAGCATGAAAAAAACCGAGCAGCGTTCAGTTGTTTCTTGACACAAACGTATCCCATTCCAAGGCACTTACATTTTTGTCTTGCCCCATTCACCTCTGAATGGCATATATACACAATCTGTCTCAATTGTCCTCAAAGGTTTAAAGATCCTTTTTTAACCTGTCTCCTCCCCTCATCTACACTGATTGAGTGATTTTAACAAGTGACATCAATAGGGATCATAGCTTCACACCGGTCAGTCCTGTCATGGAAAGATCAGGTGTTCTTAATGTTTTGTACACTCAGTGTGTCTATCTTAATTTGATCATCTGTTGTTGCAGACATTTCCCTGCGTAGCAAAATGCAAACTTGTAAAGTGTATTCAATGTTAAAAAGGCTTTCTAAAGTTTGTAATTCCACTTTAAATTTTCATGATTTTGATTTGCCCTGACGAAAAATAGCAACCCCCCTACAAAATGTCCATTAATTTATAATCCTCATAATAATTCAAATGTCCTGTCTGCAGGATTATTTCCTCTGTTCAAATAAGATAGCACCCTATTTAACAAAGCCACATTCCACTTCCGGTCCCAGACCCTTCTCTGACCTTTCTCCCCCTACTCCAGTTCTGAAATGACTGATGATCCACACACCCATAACTGAACCTGAACGACTCATTTTCTCCTGCGGGTTCACCCTCCTCGTACGTTTGGGTGGCCAGCGGTTGCCTATCTGTGTGGATGAGCTCAGCGGGAGAGACGACAGGCCTGGGCGACCCCGCATACTACCCCGGGTCTCTGAGTGGTCCGGCAGTGCTCCACACACGCTCCCAGCTACCATAGGGAGAAAACAGAGACCACACACACATCAGTAACACGTGTCAGATCTGTCTGGTTGACCTTTACCACACACAGGTTCGGTACCTGCGGCGCCCAACGTTGAGCGCTGTACATGTGGACATGTTACAGAATCTGCCTGTACTGCTTCCTACCGTCTGGTCCCTCCGTCACCCTCCTCCCTTCCTCCTCGTCATGGTAACTGATAGGCGAGTTCAACTGGTGTAGGCGCTCACGTGCCCGGGCTGGCGCCCTCCATGCACCCGTTGCCCATGGAGACCCCCTCCCTTGACCCGCTAATACCGTGACCCCCGACCACTGATCCTTGCCTCCTCCCCGCTGGCGCCCATCCCCATGGCCAGTGCCAGCGCCCCCGAGCTCTGGATGCACTCCCCATCGCACGGACTCCTGGGACAAGCGGGCCGGCTTTCCTGACCCGCCTCCCCCTGAGCCCCCTCCCCTCCGCCCTCCGTCTCGGCTGCTGCCCGCCCTCCCACAGCGCTGGCCCAGGGGTGCAACACCACGAGTATGGGTGAGGCTTCTGATTGGTTGCCCCTGGCGCTCCGTCTTCAACCCCGCGACACGAGGGGGAGGGTCGTAAGGCAAGGAGGCGGGCCGACTGGCTGGTCCCCGCGGCAACAGTTTGAGTGACGGGGGCCTGGGGTTCGGATGGTGGATCCTCCTCTTCGGCCTCAAGGCCCTGGGGTCCCAGCTGGGCGAGGAAAAACCTGGGGAGAAATATGAAGAGAATACATTTATCAATAGTTTATTATTGAAATATAAATATATATATACCGTATTGTAAATACTTGCACTGATTTGCGATAAGTGGTTTGTGTTTCCTACGCATCTTAATTGAATTTTGAATGAAGTCGCTCTGGAACGTCTGCTAGTGTCTCCGCTAAAAGTGTTTAAAAACGTATCTATCAGTTTACGACAATGTGGCGGCGGCCGGACATTTGACCGGCAACATTTAATTTGCCAACCGAACTTTGAGAAATTACCGGCATCCATAGGGGCTCCCACCCCACGGTGGCTCCAGAATGACATGAAATCACACATTTAGAATAATGATCTTTCATATTACCAGAACATGCAAGTCGAGGATGCAACGCTGTCCCTTCTTACAAATTAATGGATGTGCCCTTTGAACAAGTTAGAATAACTTTCCACATGTCCTTTTCCTCAGCCAACAGATGAGTAACCAACACAGAAACATCACTACGTCTGTCATCTACTATAGCAGAAAAGTTTTCTGGCTACCTATTCTATTGGGTCAGCTTGTTGAAGAAAGACTAGTCTATTCCAAACATACTCTGGTACAGTTGTGGGAGCATATCCTAACTCGATCCAATTCCTTTATGTAAAGCCTAGGCTACATCAACAACTTTAAAAGCATGGATGATGCAACTATCAAACCTTTTGCGAAAATGTTTTTCACATTAAAAGCACAGCAATGTGTACAAGGTAAGTAGCCACCACGAATGTTCGTATTCCATAACTCATTA